CGTGGGCTTGACCGGTCTATTTGAGGAACATATTACCAACATGATTCGTGAGTTTCTTTAAGCCAATATATTCGAATCCTGGTCTTATAAAACTTCAGGGCAGTATCAAACTCGCTGGACGGTCGCAAGTATTGAGATCAGCCGGGAATGGGCAGGAGTGGGTTTCTTCAAACCATTTTCTGACTGTACTATTCGGTTCTAACATCGCTTACAGCTGGCCTGGTCAACCTATGCTGCTTTTTGTCGAAAATTTGGCGATCACGTAACAAAAGCTGTACCTGAGGGTCGCTGTTGGAATGACGAGTTACTCCAGCCGGCAAGAGACCAGCTAGTTCTCAATTGGGAGATTTTGAGGAATTGGCTGCATATTCAAGAAGGAAAAATGGCGAGAGATGCTCACAAGATATTTGATAAATGGAGAGGGGAAATTGGAGGTGAGTCACTCCTTTTGGGAAAAGAAGCTTCGTCACCCATGTGCTGCAATGGTGGCATGCTCACTTCATGGCTTTCTGTAGCGCATATTCATCTTGCACCATGCGCCCTCGAAAATCTTCGCCGAATCATGGAATTGAGAAGAAGTTGCATCCACGAACATGTTTTGAATTCTTTGCAGAAGATGACGCAAATATCAGAGTACAGATCTCCGTGTAAGTATCATCGAAATACTGTGCTAACTCGTTCATTAGAAACACCGAGCGAGACATGGCTCATGGTCATGCCAGCTCTTACATTTCAGGGCTGATGCAACCTGCTTATACCCAGATAAACCTAGAAGGAGGTGAGTCAAATTGACATTTCTACTCCGGGCTGAATTTCGAACTAACTTATTGATTAATCTATACAGGGCCAGGAAGTGACAAGCGCCGGAAGAGAATCATGAATGACCACCTGACGCATTCAAGGCTCTTTGCCAAGTTTTCGAATGTAGCTGGCAGAGAATACATAGGGGCCCTGAATGACTGTTTTGATGATCTGCAGAGAAGATTGACCGAGGAGGTAGAGAGTATGGCGAGAGATTTCAATGTGGTGGTTGCAGCCGAAGGCCAACTTTCAGAGGCAGAAGAGGCACCCGCAGTGGTAGATGCCCTCAGATCCCGATTTGAGGGCACAGAGGCGATTCTGGAAAGGGCCCAGATGATCGTGCAAGAACTCAATCGGGAGACCATCTACGATGTTGTCTAAATCGCATTTTCTATGTGCTCTTTATATTCCAATCCCAATCTCTGGCTAGAAACTAAAATTTTCACCAAGCCAAATATCGTGTTATCTGATCAATAACGAAGTATTCTAATCAAGCACTTCGAATTGACGAGTTGTGCGGTATTTTCCTATCTTCGTGCCACTTTGAGTCGCGCTTCTGCGCCTCCCTCGCGGTCAGACTTTTGACTGTGTCCGTAAGAAAGTAGACAAGACCAGACCAAACAGTGGTACTAGTAACTATGACAATATATCTAGTTTGTATAGCGTCAGTGACAACTAGGTTCAGAAGATGGAAATGTGTAGGTGTGGGTGTTTGCAATGGCATTATAAAGTACGGCAGGTCTAGCCGAGGGCCACGTTATCCATTCACGGCGCTCGGGGTGTTCAGGGAAAGGGCTGAACAGATCGTAGAGTAAAGCAGCAAGGATACTAACACCAAAGAAGTAAAAAGTAAAAAAAGGGCAAACAAAAATATACAACAGATATTGTATAGTGGTGGTCACCTAGCGCCCACGAGTCTGTCCTAGGCGGCCCGCCGCCCTAGCGGGGCGCCCTTCAGCCCTTCACCTGAAGGGCCGGAACTGATATTCAAAAGTCGCCTTTGTGTATTCCAGCAGGAAAAGATTTGACGAGACTCTAGAGCGCAGACGAGGGATAAAATGTATAGTTTCGCTTTTCTTCACCAGGCTCTCTTCACCTGGTTGCTGCTATTAATTCTTTACTTGGTTGACTCTTCGCTACTCTCTACTATAGGAAACAAAAACAGTAAGTATCTCTTGATCGATATTGACAGTATCAATAAGAAGATAGCCTGTGTGGTACTACCGCGGATAGAAAGAGACTACAAGAAGGCCTTAAATCTATTTGATATATAAGGTATCCGTTTCTTAGTAGCTCTGTTTCTGGCTAATAACTCAGTTTTATTAAGTTATACCCTAAATCTTAAAATCCGCTAAACCTTTAAATAAGTAAAGGGTTTTTGCTCTAGATAGCCCTGAACAAACACGGTTGTATTAAAGAGAAACCTATTTTAGAGACGCTACAGAGGTTCCGTTAAGACTTCTAGACAGGAATACGGAAATTTAGTGATTTTATCTTTACTACAGAGTATTCTACTATACATAAAAAGTTACTTATTAATATGCTCTTTCTTATCAGTTAAAAGGGTTTCTATAGTCGCTTCGCGCGAACTTTGCTTTAGTTAATCCTTAACTTCGATACTAGGAGACTATAACTATTCTGGTTCTATACTAGCTTTAGTCTGACCTACACTAGGAGTAGTGATATTTTTACCACGAATAGGACCCGTTTTAATACCAGGACTAGGGTAAAGAGAAGAGTCCACGCTAGTAGTGCGGGGCTCTTCTTGCTCAGAAACAGGGGTTTAACGAGTGGAGGGGGCCATCTTCAATCTGATGTAGCCAAAGAAGAAGAATCAGAATTATAATAGGTATTGACTAAGGTTGAGGCTAGCACCTGTGGCTAGGCAAGATAATAGATAGGAGGGGAATAAAAGATAGATTCAATCAATACTATAATAGTAACAGTGACTAATTCTTAAAGAAACTTAAGGCTTGCTGTTGATAGTACGCTTCCTTCCTCATTTCACGTTCTTGGTTTTCTCTGTACTGAATTTCAGGTGTTCATGGCCCAGAATTCCTTCAGATGAAGGCTCGACGTTGCGCTGTTCCGAACCTGCCGTTAACAACCTCCGATGTCCCACCACAACACTTGAACCGACCAGGGCGTTATGCATACGATAATTTGTTCCAATTGTTGTCTTTCAGCCAGACAATTGAGGTCAAACATTTCCGTTGCTTCACTATACTAGATACGCAGGTATGGCAGCAATCTGGACTTGAGACATGTGCCGAAATCCAGAAAGTACGTGACGACGAGCCCATATCACGGCTCAACCGCTTAACTACCTTCACTGGTTCTCATATCATTCAGGCTAAATACTACTTCAACACCTCCCCTTACACTGCGACGAAGTCCCTCCCCGTGTACGAAGACCTCCCACCACGCCTAAGAAACGCCTTTATCCAGTTCCGACAACCCCGCGAATTCAACAGCAGCCATGAATATACAAAGCTTTCTGGTTCTAAGAGAGAGAGAGAAAGCATCACGTCTCTGGGCAGGTCAAGGGAGCCTTTCCTGGTTTCGCTTAGCTTTCTTGGGACGCGTTGCCGCCGCGGCCGCAGGCTCACCACGTGACATAAGGGGTCCAGCTTGGATCTTCGCCTAAGATATGTCGCAATTAAGGTTACAAAAATAAACAAGCGGGTTTCTGCAGGATCCTATTAATACCTCATGGAAGAACGCCATAGGTGGGCGTGAAGGGCTATGATTAAGAAGTGGAGATGGACTAGGAGCCGATAGGGGTTCTCCTTAAAGGAACAGGAACTCAGAACGGACCCGAACAGCTTACAATGCCCTCTATAGCAGAATCTCGACATTGAGTGCATCAATGACCGGCTTAGCTTCCAGGACTTTCGGACTCTACATGGCAGACCATACCCCGGCCCTGCCGTCAAGGTCAGCAACCTCTGAGTCAGTGGTCATTCATATAGAGACGACAAACCTAAGTAGAACCTAGCATGTCGGGCTTTCGTGGCGCGATGGCCTACCAATTGGCAAAGCGGCATAGCTGTGGAAGGAATTAAAATTCGGCGCTACCAATACGTCTTATGCAAATTCACATTCAAGAGCAGTGATCGCCTTGTTCGTTCTTTTTGACTAGCCAGTACAGTGGCTGGTGTCAGAGATATTAAACACAGAGGTACCGAGAAGACCGGTATCTTTCTTGCTTACCTTACCACTTTGCCCAATAAAAGAAAGCCCAAAGCAAAAATCAGGGCTAAAATTGTTCATGACCTAAGGAGGCACATCAGTCATCAGCCCAGGCAATGATCTCCATCTAAAAAATGTATTCTTTGACTCCCAAGCATAGCCCAAAACAATTCCAAAGCGACCAAGACTGACTATTACTCAATTAATTCCGCGAGGAATCAAACCCTTATCCTCAAAGTTCAATATGATCATCCGCTGGTCATCAGCCTCAGATTAAGGTTCTCGGCTTCTGTGCTTGTGGCAAAAAGATTCCAGCCCGACCGAGAAGATAATCTAAAAGGGCCTCCACACTTGATACTTCAGTTGTTTTCTAGACATACTTTGAGATATCTCTCTCAATGATCTTAGTAATCTCTTTTTCCTCAATAAGAAATTTGTTCAAATGGATTCAGATGCGTTTAACTTACGCACGCCCAAGTTGATTGATTGTTAAACCTGAAACTTTGAATCAAATCTAGACAGCTCCATTTTTGATCATTTGGTAATCGAACCACTTCAGCAACATTTGCCACCGGTCGAATCCATCGGTCACTTCCTGAAGAAAGGAATGAATGAAGATCACCGAGTGGCTTAGGACGTCATATTTATTTCTCATTTATGAATGACATCACGCCTCGCGAAAAGACATCATCGCGATTGGACACGGGGTACTGTGAAGTTACTGGTATTTGGACAGCGTCAAATAGAATGATTTTTCTTCATTTGGTGGTTTTGACGATTCCAAGGTTCCAAGATCTACTGACATCATTTTTTCGTTGACAAGTGGACCTCACTATCACTGTATAGAAAAGATAATCTCATTAAATCTTTTTGAAAATTACCACTATGCAGTGTAACTGAGCTTTGAATGATTTTCCTGGCTTGAAATACTTCGAATTATCCAGAAGAAAGGTCCTACCTCGAAATCCTACGGGCATCTAGTCGTCAAGGCAACTTCTCGTTACAAGATGTTCAATATCACGAACCACGATGTCGATTGTGGAGGAGCTAAGACCACTATCACAGGTATGATTATATTTATCCACTTTCAGTCGCTAAAGGAGAAATGGAACCTGAACAAGCTAATTGATATCCAGATGATGGACGGCTGAATATTAAGGTTGAGAAGCCCGAAATGATGACTATTTCACCTCATTGGCGGCGTCCAGCTTACAAGATACGCGATACGGAAACAAAGATTCAAGAATGCCACGCGCTGCCTTCGCTCAGCATAGTGATCCAAGTTGTTGGGTCTCGTGGAGACATACAGCCTTTTGTTGCCCTTGGACTTGCTCTTGCCCGAGCAGGACACCGCATTCGAATCGCAACTCATGGCACATTCAAGGAATTTGTCGAGACTCACGGCTTGGAATTTTTTAATATTGGAGGCGATCCAAAAAGGCTCATGGCGTATATGGTAAAGAACCCTGGGTTAATGCCCAGCATGAACAGCCTTCGTAGTGGAGATATTCAACAAAATCGAGCAGATATAAGAGAAATCCTTGATGGTTGCTGGCGAGCGTGCTTTCAGAGTACAGACGAGGACTCGAAGCCTTTCTTTGCCAATGCGATTATCGCCAATCCGCCTTCATTTGCACATATACACTGTGCAGAGAAGTTAGGCGTACCTTTGCATATCATGTTCACGTAAGGGATGCGTCGTTATTTTAAATGGATTTGGAAATGCTAATAAAAAGCAGGATGCCTTGGTCGCCCACCCATTCTTTCCCTCATCCATTGGCAAACTTACATGCATCTTCTTCAAAAGGAAGCGTGATGAATTACCTATCATACATGTTCGTTGAAATACTCACGTGGGAGGGATTGGGAGACGTAATCAACTCCTTCAGATGCAAAACGCTGGGACTCAAGCCTCTGGACAGATCTTCTGGACCAACGATCTTATCTCAACTCCGTATACCGTACACCTACTGCTGGTGAGTAACGTTTTCATTCTACATAGTGATTTTCTCCTCACATTAGTACATTCTAGGTCGCCTACTCTAATAAGAAGACCTGAAGATTGGGCTGCGCACATATCCATTTTGGGTTTTTACTTTTTGCCCATGTCATCTCCATACACTCCCCCTCCTGAATTGGAGGAATTTCTCAATGGGCCACCACCGATATACATCGGATTTGGCTCCATAATTGTCGATGACCCCAAGAAACTTACTTTACTGTTGTTGGAAGCAGTAAAGCTGGCCGGGGTACGAGCCATTATCTCACAAGGATGGGGCGAATTGGGCAGTGAAGACTTGATGATTCCTCCCAACGTTCATTTTATAGGAAGTTGTCCACATGACTGGATTTTTCAAAAGATTTCTTGCGTGGTACACCACGGTGGCGCCGGTACAACGGCTGCAGCTATGGCTTGTGGAAAGCCTTCAATTATCGTCCCCTTCTTTGGTGATCAGCCTTTCTGGGGGGAGATGATCGCGAAAATAGGGGCAGGCCCCAAGCCTATTCCGTTCAAAAAGCTAACTGCGCCCGATCTCGCTGCGGCTATCGGCGCTGCCCTTGAGCCAGATATCAAGCAGAGAGCAAAAGAACTCGGGGAGCAAATTCGTACCGAGAGCGGCGTCGATGCTGGAGTCACTTCATTCCACCATCACCTTGAGCATTCTGATCTGAGTTGCAGAATCGTAAACTCGCTCCCAGCGGCTTGGAAAATTCGAGGAACAGACATTCAGATCGGCTCTAGTGGTGTGGCGCTTCTGGTTAACAGAGGTTTGCTTAGTACTGACAAAATTGAGCTGTATGTATATGATCAGTGGATATTATCATGGCTACCTAAGTTAACTATATTGTTTTAGACTTCGACCGCAAAAATATAATTTGAACATCGGGCCTCGAGACCCATTCTCGGGAATGGCTTTTGCTTTTATTGATTCAGCAGCAGAGATCGGCGGAAGTCTCAGCCACTTTGGTGCGTCAACTCAAGAGCTCTTCCGATCAATTTTTGAGAAGGGGTCTATACACTCGGGCAAGCGATCTGCATTTGCATCTAGCATGAAGGGAATCGGGAAAGCCTCCGTTAGTGTCGTTCGAGCTCCCATTGATGTTGCCTTCGCATTCACTCAAGGCTTGCACAATGCGCCGAAACTCTGGGGTGACCACTATGTAGAGTTGCCCGAGACTGTCGAGGGCATACCAACCGGGCTCACAGCAGCAAGCAAGGTAAATTACAATCTATAATCGCATTTCGGATATCTAATACCATCTAAGGAACTTGTATTTGGGGTCTACAATGGATTTTCCAGCCTAATACTCTTCCCTAGACAATGTGCCGCTCACCAGAACAAATTTGATATTCTCCCGGGGATAGGATTTGGAACCGTTTCTTGCATTACGAAAAGTTTATCTGGTAACTGATCCTTGAGATAGGAACCATAACTTTCATTTCCACTAATTTTGACAATATACAGGCTTGACTGCAATCATCACATATCCTCTGAAGGGGATTGATGTGGAACTTACTAGAGCTCTGTCTACGAGAAGGCTTACCGCTCTTGAGATAGAGCTTCTTAGCCAAGGCTCGAGAGATATGGCCCACATGGACGAAGAATATATTAAGCTAATCCTAGAGCAATGGGAGGTCATAACGAAGGGTGTCAGGAAAGGGAAGTTGAAGAAGAGGAGATATCATTGGCCTCAAATCGGGCGAGGGAATAAGCCAGTGAAATCAAACTAAGAACCTGTGGGGAATGGAGTGAACTGCATGTTATCGAAGTTTTATTCCTCACCTGAGCACATAAAGAAAACAACTATATACCTTTTTGGTGATCAATTAAGTAATGTTTGCGCACCGATCTCTACCCCCATGGAGGGTGCAATACATCCCAGGTGGGGCGTCTTGCTTAACTATAGGAGCAAAAAGGCACTAGTGAGTGTATATCAGCCGAAGAGTGCATCCCAGGGAAATCTATCAGTCGGACGACTCTTGAAGTTTCAGGAGTTCTAAATTAGCGATCACTATATACCCAGTTTAATTTGAAACTTGTCCGACAAGGATAAAGGTAGTTGCAGGGATACAAAATTTGGTTTATCTTTTTGATGGGGTACGCTTAGGCCTAGTGTACATAACTCCTACTAACTAGTTAACGTAATTCCCAGCCGTCCCGAACACCCCATCCGAAATCGCGTCTTTTTTCGTACACACCAACTCCAACTGCCTGTCATGCCACCAATTCGAACTGAATCCCAGCAGAAATTAGCCGGCCAAGAGGGCAAGATTTTAGGGTTTAAACCCTAAGTCGATACTTAAGGAGTACGAGTGTTAGATAAACATACTGTTACGCGTAGCTAACTGGTCACGGTGAGTGGTTAGATCGTTGGTTGACAACTTACCAGTTGTTCTCTGTGTCGTGGGTCGTGTGTGCTATCTATCACTTGTAATCCTTAAGTATCGACTCGCAATCGTACCGTTGCTATGCTAAGCCTTACACGGACTCGGATCCTGTTGAGTAACTACCAGCATGCCCCCCTTCACATGCTTCTCGCAAATTCGGGACACTAAACCATACCATGGCAAACAAGAAAAAGTAAAATCGGGTTTAGAATAGACTCTGGTCTCGGGCACATACTTAATATGTGCCCGAGACCAGAGTCTACTGCTGACTGTTTTCAAGGCCGATGATACATTGAAAAAGCGAGAAACAGTTCTCGGCGGAGGGAATATAGAATCAATTAAAACATTAAACGCTCAATCATCAGAATCGAGTTACCAACATCCAGTGGATGACCTTGGGAGAAGAACACAAGATCTATTTCACCTATTATAAAGTGTATACGTAGTATTTTGGACTTATACACTTGAGAAAGATAACTCGAAATAACTCTAAATTACCCAGAACGAAGTCAATATTTGATTTTTTGATTATTTTCATCTATCTCAAATAATTTTTTAACAATAGGGTAATCAAGCAAAAAAGGAATAACGAACCAAGCTCCTCCCCGTTCTCGTATTTTAGCTCTGCTTCCCTAGTAGATAGCATATCTTCAAGCTCTTTGTACTGCGATTCATCCAATATCCTTTTAGCCCGCTGCATTGCAAGACAAAAAGATACTCCTGTTCCTTTGCGCAATTTCTTAATAAGTATTTTTATCTCATGGTCCTTGCTCCTATTCATTTTTTTCTGTTCTTAAAGGAAGCTATTAGCCTACTCCTCTACAACAGTTGATTACTGTTACCGGCTTTTTTTTTCTATATCTGCTAGTCGCTTTAGTATAGCTAGAATCGTATCGTAAGTTCTTTTAGAATATTTCGAGAAGATTTCAACGGCTTCGACTTCAGTTGCTGCTTTATGTTCTTCAAGAAAAACCATTAGCTCCATTATGTATAATACTTGATAATACTTACTGGTTTCTTGTTTTACATTTTCTGGCCGCTTCAGTTGAGCAAGAAGTGTATCTTGAGTAGGTTTGGAAAGTTTCGAGAAAATTTTAACGGCCTTGTGCTCTTCTAGTAAGCTATTAGATCCCTCCTTATAATACTTAATAACTCTTACCGGAATCTTGGTCAGTATACTCTGGTCGCTTTGGTTGGACTAGAAGTATATGTTGAGTGCTTTTGGAAAGTTTTGATAACACCGATACATAATATTGAGTTACTTCATTTGTCTTGCTGAGCCAGATGGTTTGAGCTGAGGGAGCCATTTTGAAATCACCAGCGAGCTCTGTTCTTAAGGCAACCAATCTAGAGTAGATAGTCGTCCTACTTATATAACTTTCTAGGTCATAGTACAGAGCTTAATGATGGCTTCTTTAAGTATCTCTGTGGTCTCTCCACGCAAGACCAGGTAAGCACTTTATCAAAGGGTAAATTAGATATTGAAAGATGATGTATGCTTGATAGCTATCTGCGTGAGCAGATGGGTCAATCACCAGCAACAAAACCACTACACCCGCAGGGTGCTTGTAATAGACAATATGTAGCGAATGACCAATAAATGATATTAGAACATACGATGCTAAGGCATGGCAGCAACTAGGATCAGCGTAGCAGGTGACAGGCGTGCAGACTGATCAGACAGCAGGTTTCAAGAAACTGGAAGGTATGTATTCCTAGACTAGAACTGCACACGATACTAATCCTCCTCCGAATTAGACACCTTGTTACGAAGGCGGAATCCCCCACTACAATATGTGTTATTATTATCAACACAAACCGGGTCCTTATTCTTCAACAGACAGATTATCAATATCTTTAACTCCTTTTCAAGCTCCACCAAATCCGAATATATAATCATTTTTCCTTTCAGGGTAGCTAAAGTAGCAGCCTTCTACGAGCTTTTAGGAGCAGAAAGAACGCTGTCCCCGCCAGATATTCTTAACAGACTCTCAAAATGAAAAAGGAAAAGAAGAAGAAAGAAAAGAAAAGTCCTCTCCACACGATGAATATGAGAAGCTTCTTTAGCTTGAGCTGTTTAGAATTTAGAACAAAATTTATTAATACATCACAGCTAATTTGGTGGTCATGTACGTAATAAATTGACAGTGGTTGTATCGATCTAGTAACACATGAATGAGACAAAACTTTTCCATACTACAGACACGGTGAACCAAATGAGGGTTATAACATTTAACATCGCTTATTGCAACTGGCAGGTAAGTAATCAATGCAGAATCAGATGCTGGTAGAACCTGGCTTCTTTAATTTCAGGGAGGTAATGTATACAGAAAGCACTATACCTGGTAATTGAATTGAATATTCCCAAGGTGTGGTCCAGTAATCTTTCGTCTTGGCCGGAATATTTTGCTAGGGTCAAAGCACAATCTGTAGTATAATAGCTTCCAATTCTATTCAAATACCACTATATAGGCTGATTCTCCTGGAGAACCAACCCGTAGAATATGTATAAGACCCTCCTTACCGTGTTGATACACCTTTCCCTACCCAGTGAGCCTGTGAGCAAACATTCAGGGCGTGACAGATAATGAACTAGATAGAAAATACGACCCTCAAGTATGGAATAGTTGACGTAGTTCCTATCTATGCTTTGGAACCCTTGCTTCTGACTTTGTATAGAACTCAGGAGAGATTTAAGCCTTCTGTTTAGCTGGTCTCTGTGATACGAATAATCTGAAGTGAAATTTTGGATATCTTATATGATATTTCATTTAATTTGGTGTAAATTATACTTAATGTCCCAGAGTCCTCTATCTGAAACTTTACGATATTAAGATCATCTCCAGGCCCTTTCAAGAGATGAAAATCAAGAGATAAAAGCATCACGATTCTATTAGAGACGTTACGTTCTTCTTTTGGGTCGTCTAAAAAGAGATTTTGGATCACTCACCGCGCTATTACTGCCAATGCTGAGACAGATATACCACGATAAGCCCAGAGATATGAAAGCAATAATAACGCTTTTAAACCTGTAAGGGAACAGTTGATATTGAGATTATCTTTAGTCAGGTATTCCCATACAAGCAATTCAAATTCTATTAAAAGACCATTAAATATTCGGTTATACTCTTTGCCAGCCCGATACACAAACAACAGAATTATAAGAAGAAGAGTATTCCAGGACAGACTGAACAAAGTACGGTTATATTTAGATATTTACCATTCTTGCTCAAAGTCGTATTAATTAACAATACAGAAAATCTGAATAGGCTTAGCTTGTTATAAAATAACTTAGTTGTCAGAACCTACCGGAGAATTATAGCAGAAGAACAACGTCTTTAATTGTTCTATATCACCATCAGGTGGAAATATATATTGGATATAATTCCAGAGGCTCCAATACTCCTGATATTAAGCTGACATATCTGGCGCCAAATCCTCCAGTCCCTGATTTCCGACCTGCTGCTCCGAGATATAATTTCTATATCCTAAGTCCCAAGGCAAAGATTACTTTAGATTTGGGGCTCTAGAGTTATACTAAGCTTCGGCTCTTCGCTGGTTTCACTACGGCCAGATCTTATTGGTAACCTACGGCTGTCAATTTAGGCCCTTTGTCTGGCGTAAGATAATAGATCAAGCAACTTTTCACAATTCAGTCCTAGTCTCCTACAACGTTGACAAGGGGAGGTAACAGAGCACCTAACCCTTGAACTGCGACAATAAGAACAGAGTTCTCGAACTCTGACCATGCTTTGTACGGCTTTCTGGTATACACAAATAAGTACAGCGGGGCCAGACATCCCTTTATACCCTGCCACCAGTCAGGACTAGTCTCAATGATCTGCCTGGTCCCATATATGTGAAAAAGGCCTGTTCAGGAAAAGCTGAGTTCGTTGAATACACGATAACTAGTCTAAGGAAGTAAGAATAATAGGAGGTGAGACTTTTCGAAAGCCGAGTGAAGCAAAAAGCGAGCTAAGCTTAGATAGGAAGTAAGGCCTGTCCTCGAGTGTTACAATATAGACCCCTCCGTAACCGTATAGTCTAGGCACTGTCGGTCGTCGATAAGAATTGACACCCCTTAAATTACTTTTCCAATTAAATCCCGATAAAAATTCTACATTAATCTGGGGGAAAGGCATTCCTGCTTATGAAATTTGACAGAGCTTAGAGGCTGAGTCAAGTCTCAGCTCATAAAGGATTTTGAAAGCTCGTCTATATTATTGAGTTAATGTTACAGCCTGGATCAATCGTCGAACAGTAAATAACCATACCCTGTATCGGCAACGATAGAAATCTTGCTTTTCGCATAGTTTTCTAAGTCTAGTCTATAAGGAAGTTACATAATGGGGCTTCAGTTGAGTTCATTATTTACTGCGCTCAATTTCTTATTCAACGGAGAATTCGTCAGCAGACTATTCGAGTACAGCAATATAACTACCAAAGCCTTGTAGCTCAGCGCCGCGTAGGTATAGGGACTTAAGGAGGGGCTGTAGCTATACAGAGCGATTTTTAACGCGCGAGAATATGTATCCCTTAACTACAAAGACTATTATACATCCAGTATAAAACTGCAAAGTTAATGCTGCCTAAGTATCAAGGACTAAAACATCAGCTAATATATCGGTCAGACAAACTTCCCATCACATAGCCATTGACAAAGCACTCGACTCGAGGCTTTATACACAAGAATTCCATAACATCCACTTATATAAACGCTAACTCTCCAGATGTCAAAGTTTTCGCCATCGGGTTCGATACTCCTGACCTTTCCAATCACCCAACTTTCACAGAAAATATCCTGACCATAGCACCTTAGGTGGCCATCCGGACGTGGGAAGTATCTTTCTTCACCAAACATTTGAGCAAGACAAGTAAAGTCTTGATGACTTGGATCAGCAAAAAGGCCTTCTTGAAGATCCAATTTCATAGCATTTGAAATCAAACGTCCGTCTGTCGAGTTCTGTATATCTTGTAGTGAGATATTCCCTATAGCAATGAATATCTCGTATGCCAGAAATGAATAGTATTCCCCTTCCACCCAAAGATCAACACACTCCTGATCCAGTCCTCGTGGGATAGGGATAAACCTTCTGGTCTTATCGAATGTGATAATTAGAATAACTATTTGGCCTTACCGATATCAGAAATAAGATCAAGAAAATAGTAAGGTCAGAGTTATACCGAGACTGAGATTGATGGCCTGATGTATCAACATCGTAGACTCTTCGGACATATCATGATCAGAAAGTATGTCCGTAGTCTTTTTTTCATCGGCATTCATTAGGTCTGCCATAGTAAGTGAGAAATTATCGAAGGAAATTAAGTATCAAGTATCAAAAGTTGGAATGAGGGATCTTAAAAGCGTTCTCATCGCCATCTTCTACTAGCCCACTGATTCCTTATTCTTCTTTAGTTTAGACCATTATAAGTCACCCCCGCACAGACATAGTATACAACAGGGATATCAGAATAAAACAGCAACAATTGCTCTTTAGATATTTTCCCCCTCTTCACTAGGGTGCTTATAGATAAACAAATACAGCATATCGGACCAGATATCTACAATAATATCCGAGTCACAAGCGAAATATACTTCGGAGGAACTCTATCTCGCACAAAGCTACAAAGATTCTACGGCCATAATCAAACAGTGTAAGAGTGCTACCCTATATTTCTAGCTGTATTTCTAGCAGGATCACAAGCCTCATTTCATAGCATCCAATCCACGCATGATACTTTATTGCAATTGCTAGCCAGGTGAGTAGACACCCTTCTATAAAGAGATATTCCGAATTGATCACACGAGCCCACACAGCATTATAAAATCACATACGATCTAGATGCTCATGGAACAAAACTGAAGATACTTCAAAAATGGTCATATACACCCAATACCGGGTTTGTTTCTTTATGGGCCTCGATACCATATCTAATCTTAAGCGCCCTTGTGATAGAATCTTAATAGCTAATAGAATTCCTGTTCGTCTTGTCCAAGGACAACGCGACTGCAAAAGAGTTAGTCGATTGCTTAGTATCTCGATTTATGAAAACTCACCGGATTAGCTTTGGAAAAAGACGAAGATCAAATGGGTCCGTTTTTTTAGGCTTCCTCCTGGCTGTGATTGTTCTTGTTTGTCTCATTGGCAGATAGTATGGAAAAGGAATGATCAACGGCAAATAATACTTCTGACGGGTAATTAAGGAGTTGTTGATTCGATAAAATAGCTTTAAAGCCTGGGAATCTATGAGATATACGCTCTTCATATAGCTACCTCAGCCCAGACGACTATTTTCGGCACATTGCCCGCTTATTTTTGGTATATGCTTCAAATGCGTCGTCATAACCATCCATATCTTCACATTTTTCCTGGTCCATCCATCTTGTTCCAAGTTACATCATATTCTCTTTTCTAAGCTCAACATATACTTGGTGTTAGTAAAGCGAACTCTTGGAGTACTTAATCCGCAAGATCCTAGAAACATGCCACTTAACAGGGCTATCCGAGGTCCAGCCCTCATATAGCTCTGATATATTGTAGCTATTATTGTTTAGCTTGTTCAAAGCATCGGGATATGTCATAGTCGCTCGGTTCCCGACTGAAGCCTGTAATGCAGGATTATGAGTCAATAGATTCACGTCTTTGGAGTCCTAGAAACGGTCAGCTTTATCCTTTCAAGATATGGTAGGACCTACTTGTGGCGAGCCAAAGCAACTATTTAAAATCTCGAATTTGCAGAAACACTTCAAGAAATAAAACATGGCCGAGACTGGATCGTAATTCAGGTATATAGGAAGGTAGGCAGGCTGTGCTGGGTGTAATTTATATGACAGTCCTTAAGGACATGCCTGTTTATTATAATTGTTTATGATGACCTTGAATAAATTACGAAAATAGACAAATAAGTCTCTTTACGTACTCAGTCTTTCAATAGCTGACCTTTTGGAGGATTCCGTCATAAAGAGATAATTTGACTCCGTACGGTAATCCATACGGCCAAAAATTCACAGATACAACTTTCTCTTCCTTGCTAACACTAGTCCACCTTAGGTAACCTCTCATACTTAGCCATCTGCCGGCTTCTTCTCACAGGTCACAGTTTTAGGGCACTTGTATCGATTTAAGTTATCACAGCATTGGATGAATTGAATGGTAGGTAGAAGATGTCCCGAATCAACCAGAAACTGTAAAGCACGCCCAATACCCATAACGAGGCTATCAGTCGGTATGTCGAAGAGCGCCAGGTCATGCGGCGGATCAAGCGTCGGTCATTGGGACCTTGGATAACACCTTGATGCTGGGTCGAGCGGTAGTTGGGGTATGTTTTGAGCATATTGATAACAAAGAGAGAAGACAGGCTATTTTATTTAATAAACTAGGTAAGATATTAACAGAGGTTTAAATTACAAGAAGAATATAGAAAAGTAATATAGTTTTATCACTCAAAAACCTATATTTATAAAGATAGAGGATAGAGATAGTCAGACAATTTTCTTTAAGCTATATATAGATTCTAACTTTACAATAGACTTTTTTATTAGTATTACCTAGACAAAATTTCTCTCTAATTTAATACAGCAGAGAAAATTAAATTATAATCTGTCTCCCAACCACTTCTGTTAAGTCAAAAATATCAACCTGAATACAAACATTAAAGCTTCTGTGTATCTAGTTTTCTACGTCAATAACGTAATATATATCTTAAGATCTAAGGCTGAGATAATAGGTAATAAGTAACTGAATCAGCTCTTGATTCTGGTAAAGGTACGTAAAAAATCGGATCTTTTAGTCTTGGTAGCCTAGCTCATAAAGAATATTAGCGTTATTGTCCTTCGTAGCACTATATATAATTTCGCTTTGAAGAAGTGAACAGGTCTTTAGTATGGCGATAATATAAGGGTCCTGAGCCAAAGGAATTGTAGGGTTCAGCTCTCTTTATAGCCTCTTAAAGGGCCGCGAACAACCCTGGTAAAGGAAGGAAAGAGGTTCAAAGTATCAGGGAAATACTTTTTCTCTTACCGCTATTCTTATATTTTCTGCCTGGGCAGACGCTAAGGCCATGAGCTCAGTAATACAACAAGTAATAAATATATATTACGCACCTCTTCGCTGGATAATTTATCTCAACTATAGTGTTTTTTATTGGCTTGGATAATCTAGTCTTCTCATTGCTTGCTGTTCTCTCAATTTGAGATTAAGTAATCCAGCCTTCCGTACCCTAATCAAAATAACTGAGTATAACTGAGCGGAAGCTAATAAATTGTTCACTACCAGAACTGGAGAGATTATCTATGTCTACTAGAATAAAGTATAGTAGACTTCTGATTATTAAGGCCACAGAATATACTATACTAGGTGAAGTACTTCTCAGGGTATATAAGTAAGTAGTTGATTATAGATAGCTACAACCAAATATAGTTTAGATAAAGCCTTATTTCCTAGTAAAAAGCAATCCCTGAATCCTATTGCTCTTTAGTTGTCTCTTCTTAACGACTAAAAAACTCTTTCAATTCCGTTCTAAGTCACACTATACTCTGTGTTCAACGTTTTCTTGTTCCTGCTGGGCTTGTTTCGCTCTCTTGATTTTTCTCTGTTCAGTCTTCTCTTGTTCCCACTGGGCTTATTTCGCTCTCATATTTTTTCTCTGTTCAGCCTTATTGTTCTGATAGTTTAGTCTAGCTTAACTAGCTATTTTTAAATCCTCTGAAATTTCAAGGTCCTTCACTATTTTAGTGATATTCTGTAATCTCTTCTTGAGTATAATATTCTGTAGCTTAATTATACGTTGAATATTTACTATACCTATATCTTTCGGGGTAATAAAGATATCGCGAGAAGACTTGTAAAGTAGTAATTATAATTGTATCTGTGGGATATTATACTCTTTGATATCCCAGAATATATCTAGAAATTAGTCCAACTTCGTATATATCTGGTTAATAAAAGTTATTACTCTTAGTAATTTCAACTACGAACATACTAAGCCGCTATATGTTATTTTAAACTCTGTACCACCCAAACATCTTAATATCAATAATACATTCTGAACTATTTTCGCTTGTGATGGAAACAAAAGTATTCAATAATCTTTTCCGAAAGTTGACTTAATTCAGCAGTCTCCGGGCAAGACCAATAGCATTTATCAACCAAGAATAGAGCTGCTATTCAGTATAATTGATATAATAAAACTTAATTTAGGTCTGCCATTAACAAAGTAGACTATATCTAACTTGAAAACTGCTCTCGATCAGCTTGTATTCTTAGGAGCAGATTATCAATTAGGGTTTAGTTTACCAATCATCTAGTGCAAATTTATTGTCCAAGGAAAAGATTTGTGATTAGTCAAGGCTATTTCTAAATTATATAGTCACTTCAATATTCCTGAGTAGAGTACTTATTTATAAGGGGTCTCACTCTTAAGTGATATAAGTAATATATGAAATAGTGAAAAATGATTCCAGGGATAGCTAAACACTACTTAACCCAGCATAACGCGAAGACTCAGGTTTAAGTTTTGGAGTATATAGAACGATGTGAAAATTATTACGATAGTTATTATAAAGAATTACCGTGAATAATTGAGATAATCAGGAATTTCCCTTGCTAACTAAACAATGTGATTGTCTACCCTGAGCGATTTCCGGATTATGCAATTCTTTACGTTCTCGAGTCATTTCATCGCCACGGCGAAGATAAGACACTCACACCGTTGTCATAGCCATTAAATTACACCTCTAATCCCGTTGTATTATACTTAGACTAATTACAATTTGGTCACTGGCAATAGACTGTAGCTTAATATATAAGGAACTGGCCATTAACAGAATCGATAGTGGAAGCGCAAAAGAGGCTCAGCATTTCATCTCCCATCTCCCATCTTGAGTGAGGTATTCAAGCGCTGGCTTTATTGCCTTTAGGTAATAGATCACGCAAGGACTTCTTCTGCGGCACTGCGGCAGTAGATGAGTAAGAAGCGTTACACGAAACTTCAGTTATCTCTCATAGCATACTATAGCGAGGTTTTCGCAAGTCCAGCCTCGATCTACAAATATTCTAAGACCAGTCCACAGTTACGTGCCAAATATGGAGAGAGATTGACTTGAGGGCTTTTCCTTAGTATTCATGAGTGCAGTAGAGATACATCACAATAGTGGGCTGATCTTGGCACTGCAGAGAAGCGAGTTGAGGGATAACGCAGTAAAAATGAAAAAGAAGGAACGACAACATTAGTGGTTGTCCACTGCTGACAGAAACTTCACTGCGTCTTTTGAGAAGAGATAGACGATACCAGACCAGAGAGTGGTGATAGCAACAATGTATCTGGACATTCCATCAGCACTAGACTCGAGCAAGGCAACATGACAGGGGAAATTTGCGTGACGGAAAAGAACGGCAGGTTTAGCCGAGTGGCCACATCATCCGTTCAGGGCGTTCGGGTGCGCGGCTGAAGGGACTGAAGTGGTAGGGCGGCAAGGACACTTTCCCCAACGAATAAAAAAGAACGGGTGAACAAAAACATACAACAGCAGGGATTCGCATGTGGTCACCCACCATACTACTAACCTGCCGGCGTGTGGCTTAAGTACGGCTGAGCGGACGGGAAGCCCTGTTCTCCACACCCTATGGTCGTATGTACTCAATACAGCTGGAAAGGGGAATGTATGACTGAATTGGTTCTCAATTTACTATACATCTTTCATATTATGGCTTTCCCTTCTGCCATTTATGTTGTTGTAGTGTAGTAGTGTAGTTCTAGAAGACCAGCTCCCGCCAGCCTCCCGCTTAGGTTCCAAGTTGCACCGGACCATACTAGTATAGTAGCAGTCATTTCGCTCCAACCAAAATCAACCTAGCGCCTCTCTTTTACTCATCTATTCATCTTGCCAGATCCAAGAGATAAATAAAGTTTGCCACAAAGTTTCCCCGGTCGATCACTGTTGACAATGGGCGGGTGGTTGACGTCACGACTTTGTGGCCACCACACCAAGCCCAGCAATCTGGAATGACGGAATCAGCCGCGATTCTTAGAATTTTTAGGAAAAAAAAGTCACTGGCCTTCTTCAACAATGGTTCATGCCCGGGGAGGCTGGATAATCCTTGTAGTGTAATAGGTTGGGTCGGAGTATAGAAGATGGTGTGTGGCTTGCATCTCAGGCAACCTGATGTATACAGTTAACCAGATATAGGTTAGTTACTCACACAAGTAACCAACTAACAACGAACCTAGTATTAACTAGTATTTATCCACTACCAGTACCCCTAGTAATAGAGTAGCTACTGCCACTCCAATCAATGACGAACTCTATTCTAGAATACGCCGGACGTGGCAAGCCTATGATTCAGAACCAACTGCGATTGACGCAACTCCCTTAAAAGAGGCAAAGGTCTTGCCATGCACTCACTGACGCACTGCATACCCGGCCACTTTCTAGAAACTGTCATTGCCATCTTTTTTTTTCTTTTCCATTTCCATTGTCACTCCACGAGGACATGATATGATAACGGATTCATCGACAGATCTACACAATTGAAACCGTGATACTCTACACATACTACTCATACACCCCAACCGACATCCACATTCCACCCTCGATCTCTCAAAATGAAAAACCCATTCACAAACAAAGAAAAGGGCGTCAGCAAAGGCGGCAAATCACCACCTCTAACCGACTTCTCAACCGGCAGCGACGAGCACGAAAAGCGACGAAGCAGTTCATTCGACGAATCCAAGATACCCTGGGTGACATGGCGATCACTGACACTGGGCGCTTTTGTATCGATCGGCGGTATTATCTTCGGATATGACACGGGCCAGATCTCGGGGTTTCTGGAGATGAAAAATTACAAGGAAAGATATGCTCAGCTTAAGTCTGATGGGTCTTATGAGTTTAGTAATGTTCGGTCTGGGTTGATTGTTTCTATGGTGAGTTTACATAACAGTTCACATCACACCCATCCGGGATGAGGTCTGGTCTGGGCGAAGCGTGGTCCTTTCCTGTCCTAGCAATGATACAATAGCTCACCATATCCACATCTAGCTCTCAATCGGCACACTGATCGGAGCTCTCATCGCCGGACCCCTAGCCGACCGAATTGGTCGCAAATGGTCAATTTTCTCTTGGTGCATCATTCTACACATTGGATTGATTATTCAAATTACCTCACCAGCTGGAAAATGGTATCAAATGATGATGGGTCGATTCGTGACTGGTTTCGGTGTCGGTGCGTGCTCGTTATTAGTACCCATGTATCAGGGTGAGATTTCACCTAGACATATTCGTGGTGCTATGGTTTGGTGAGTTCAGGTTCAGTGAAGCCACAAGTCCATCAATTCCTCAAACTTCCTCAATAAAGTTCAAGTTGCAAGTTCGCTAACCCTAACCCAACTTTTGTTCACAGTTCCTACCAACTCTTCGTAACCCTCGGCATCTTCGTCGCATACTGCATAAACTTCGGCACCGAAAAACTCGACAACACCGCCAGCTGGCGAATCCCACTCGGAATAACATTTCTCTGGGGCCTGCTATTGGGATTTGGAATTCTTTTATTCCCCGAAAGTCCCCGCTATGACTATCGGAACGGTCGAGCCGAGACCGCTAAAAAGACAATGTCGAAACTCTACGGCGTGCCGCAAAATCACCGCGTTATCGTGCACGAGTTCCTAGAGATTCAGGAACAGCAGGAAGCTGAGAAGGGGTCTAAGGGTGGTTGGCATGGGTGGATTGAGATGTTTCAGGCGCCCCGGATGCCGTATCGGATTGCTTTGGGTGTCGTGCTTCAGATGTTTCAGCAGTTGACTGGTGCTAATTATTTCTTCTACTATGTGAGTTGCCGCTCGGGCTCTAATCCCAAAGTGTTGTGTGGGTGTTGTTCGTGTCCAAACTGACAAATTCCTCTTCCATCCAGGGCACCGTAATCTTCAACGGCGCCGGAATAAGCAACACATACGTAACCCAAATGATTCTCGGCGGAGTGAACTTCGGCACAACCTTCGGCGGCTTATATGTAATCGAGCACTTCGGCCGACGCAAATCACTCATAACCGGCGGAATCTGGATGTTCATCTGTTTCCTAATCTTCGCCTCCGTGGGCCACTTCAGTCTCGACATCGAAACGCCCGCCAACACCCCCGGAGCGGGAACGGCAATGGTCGTCTTCGCCTGTCTCTTCATCACCGGGTTCGCCATGACCTGGGGCCCGATGGTGTGGGCAATCGTCGCAGAATTGTACCCGAGTCGATACCGCGCTCGCGCAATGGCCATGGCAACAGCATCGAATTGGCTCTGGAACTTTTTGATTGGGTTCTTTACCCCGTTTATTACGCATGATATTGATTTTGCGTATGGGTATGTTTTTGCGGGATGTTTGTTTTTCGCCGTTCTTACGGTGTTTTTCTTTGTTATTGAGGGTAAGGATAAGACTCTTGAAGAGATGGATATGATGTATGTTATGCGGGTTAAGCCTTGGGAGAGTAGTAAGTGGGAGCCGCCGGCGCCGGAGCACCAACTTACTACGGCTCAGCTTATGGATCGTGGGGTGGCGGAGGGATTTGATCGGGAAGAAGGGGTGGCTACGAATAATAAGCAGGCGGAGGAGCCGATTCATATGCATGAGGAGGATGCTGCTGCTGCTGTTGCTGGGCCTTCGACTGGTTAGATAGATATGAAGTAAGGGTTGAGTGGCGGGAAGGCGAGAGGCGAAATGAAAATGAACGAGGCGATAGGATAGGACCGGGGATGAAGAAGAGAGTTGATGACGATATGATTGATACTGAGGGGGAATGGGTGGGAGAGCAAGATACTGATTCATGAATTACGTAGATGGTACTTTACTTGTACATACACAGTCCAAAAATGATGGGGAGAATGGAATTACGATGGAATTATGTTTAGGTTTTGTTCAATAAACTATCATGTCAATTTGGTGTTCGGTTACCATATCATCAAGTCAGATCAAATCAAATCCTCAGCGCCAGGATGAGGTTGCAATAGTAAAAACAAGTCCTTGAAGGGCATAGACAAAGAGAGTAAACACGGATCAACGCGGAATAAATGAGCATGAGCTTGAGTATCCCAGAGGTCAACCAACCTAACCCAGCCCAACCCAAATCAAAATCAATCTTTCCACTCGCTTATCACCAGGTGCATGGACATGACATAAGAGAAAAGAAAAAAAGGAAAAAAAAGAGACACAAGAAAAAAGAAGAGATGGATGGATAATTGAAACCAATTTCAAGTCAAGACCCCACTGGGGAGAATGTAGTAGAAACACATAGAGAAAGGCACGCTGGCAACAACAAAAAGAACCCAGCCTCCGGAGCCGAAGACCACAGGCCGTTTCAAATCACTCGGAGGCGTGGGAGATATGTATGCAAAGAGAAAATACCCAGACAGTATCTGTTCAACCATCTAGAGGGGTAAACCATCCCATCTAATCCATAAAGTCACCACGAAGAATCTTCTCCTGGAAGAAATCGGGCTTGTTCTGCTTGGGTTGCTTTGGGATTTCCCGAATGGGTTGCTCCATGGAGGCAATGGAGGCGGCACGTTGGTGATTGTGGGAACGATTCGCCGAGGGAATCTGCGGCGAGATGGGACCGCCGATGGAGGGGGCACGCTCGGCCCGCGAACGGAGGGCCTCCGACCAGTTGAAACCTTCGCCTACTCGGCGCGACGGGTTAGATTTCTCTTCCAGTGGAGATGAAGTACTTGCGGAAGATCGGGATTGGGCTTGGGCTTGGGCTTGGGCAGGGGTGGTGGTGGTGGTACTGGCGCTTCCCAAAGGTGGCGAGCGACGCACCCCTGCCAGTGACGAAGGGGCAGCAGCAGAAGAACCAGAACCAGAACGGGGAGGGTATCTACCGTTGCTTATGCTTCCGGCACGAGCTTCACGGAGTGCTTGTGCGCCAAAAGAGACTCTTCGCGCCCAGGGTGAGCTGGGGGTGGCACCGGGCGAGGAGCTCTCCGGTTCATCAGCGACGGCGTCTTCGGGGTTTGGGGCGGAGCCGAGGGAGCTGGACATGCTGCCTCGACGGAAGGACTGGTTCCCAAAGGCTGAGGTTTGGGTGGGGGAACCGGATAGGCCGAGGGTGGTGATGGATAGGCGGCGTTGGTTTGCCTGTTGTTGGTTGGGTTGTCTCCCCGAGGAGTTATTCGCACTGGGCTGCTTTGAAAAGAGGTCGGCGATGGATGCTCGACGAGGGCGAGACTCGGGCTGGGGACGTTGATAGGAGCGGAGCGATCGTTGGACATGATTCACGATGAGATATGGTGAGGTGGCGGGGGAGGGGGGAGGTGGTACAGATGAGGACGTGAGTGAGAATGTGATGAGGACGAGAATGAGGATAAGAAGAGAGAGGAACTCGGACGGACTCGCCGCCCTTCACATGCAAGAGAGATCGAATGGAGGAGAGAGAGAATAAGCAGCGTCGATGGTTGAAAGACCGGAAGCTGCGGTAGTGTGGAAGAGAGGAGAGAGTGAGAGCGTGGGAGGGGGGAACCAGAGAAGAAGTCAGGAGATAAAGCGGGGGGGGGGAGTAAAGAGAGAGAAATGGAGTTTGTGTGGGAGAATGAAGTAGGGTTACAAATTGCAGGGGATGAGAAGAGTAGGGGGGGGGGATGGGATAATGCCAGAGAGGATGCAGACAAAAGGAGGGGCCAGCTTCAAGTTCCAAAGCTAAGCTTAGCCCAAATTCCGGGGAAGTGGCGCTATTGTCGTATCCGGCGAGTGGAGATACTCAGGATTCACAGTGTGGATATACCTAGGGCAGTTATGGGACAATGGTGATGCCATCGTCTCCCCTCCAGCATCTCCACAGCCACTCATCTCTCTTTGACCGGCGCACCGCTTTGGGAAGACGGAAAGTGGGGGTTATCTTGGATGATGATTGGTTTATTGACCCTGCGATTGCATTTATGCTAACTTTATTACTAACTCTGCTGGCGATAAGCCTATTTGCCAGTCCGGCCGATACACCCTGTGGGACATCGTACGTTTTCATCTGCACAATCGTACCATCATTGCCATTGCCATTGCCCCATTGTATGGTTGTGGTTTTCACAGAGGGCCGATATTACAAGCATGCCACCACGATAGCGTGCTGCTAATTATAAAAAGCAAATGCTTTTTCTGAAAAGGGAAAGCTTATTTTTACACTTTTTATTCATATACTGTAGTAACTAAATGACTTCTCGTATATACTGTCGTTGAAAATCACATGTTTGATGCTTGGATGCCAAGGAAAGAACTTGTATAGAGTTGCGTCCCTCCCCACTCCCTCTTCCTCTCCCTCTTCCTCTTCTTCCCCATGCTTAGTATTTTTACCAAATGCTACTAAATGTTGTCTGCTATTCAATTATAACTATATATAACCATTCCTTCTTTGACATTAATGAGCAACTGCTTCGAGATCACTTTCCTCTGTTCGATCTAGAAGGAAATAAGAACCGGTCAGGGCCTTTTTTCAACATGAATAAGAGCAGTAGTTTTTGATTCGACTGGGTGGCAGAAGGTAACGGAAACGAGACCAGAAGTCTTGTGAGTTGCCAGTAACTTTATCTTCTAAAAATGTAGGCCTTTTTGAAAATGCTTACTAGTTAACAGTCTAGCGACGTCCGGATTGATACCGTTGTTCCGACCACCAGCCCGATCGCCTGAACGACCTTTTTTCTAATTCGTGTACTATTTTAATTCCTACACATGCTGTTCCTTGATATTTATCTAGTATTTCCCGTGAGTTGTCCTATATCTGCTATTATTACTAATAGTAACTAGCAATAGCGGTTTGCGAAGATGGTATTCAAACATTAAAATCATGACCGCTGACTAGATCTTTAGCACCCAGTCATCTGTGTGACTCATGGAATGGCGGTTTCACCGTTGTATTGGAGCTGGAATCACGCCGCGAACATCTGGACTGAGCAGGGGCTTGATTGGTATCCGCGGCACTATTCTTCAGTTCTCCACTCCTTGATTTGCTGCAATAGATTGCCCGATGTTGAAAACTCTCAGCAGTCGATACGTCTCCAGCAAGCCAATTCCCAATGGACAATTTCCTCCATGCGTTCGGATCTCTCCACATGAACGAATATTGCACCTATCCACTCGGTCAGAACTGGGCTGGTAAGTACTAAACATTATTAGTGCTTACTGATAATGACTAACATCTTCTACTGGGAAGGAACAATGCTTGGGTAGTTAAAGCAACAAGATCACCCAGACGAAGCGTGCATTCAAGATATGTATATTGATGGGGCGAATCTACGCATTCAAGTTATCCCTAGAATCAATTCGATGTTGGACAATTCTTGAACTTGGCTCGTCCACTTCTTGCGACTCCTCGAGGGCCCGCTCACGTAGTATCCTTCTTGACTCGTGGGCGTAGTGTACCTCATAGTGATGTATCACAGAATCTATTCATCTCAGATAGCGCTACTCGTGGATTGGGGCTAAAGCCACACCTCCCGGTTCAACTTCATGGAAAGACATCACTGACCGCGTGGGTGCGTAGCACTGATGTCCTGTCTACACTATTACTATAGTAAATAAAAGAAACAAGTCGGAGTGGGCCAAAATAAGTCCTCCCCAGAAAAGAACCTAGAGGGAAAAAACCAGCAAAGGAACAACAAAATGAAAACAATGACTAATCCAGGCGACGAAGGCCTAGCAATTGAATAAATCGCTGAAAAAGGAGACGCTCCAATGGTTTGGTAAGTCCATCAGCAGCGTTAAAATTTTGTCGCAATGATAGCAGTAATATATTCGGATTCAGTGCTCGATTGAGCAACACATGCCGCTTCTTAGACGTCCAGACAATTAGCTCCTTTGATAAAACCTTTCGAGACAAATCCGCTGTCGACATAGGTATTGGCAAGCTCCGCGACGGTTGGATGCCATGCGACACGTTCAAGATGGTCATCGACGTGATCAACGAGGAGTCAGAGAGACAGCCAAGTTGCCTCGAGATTTTGAATCAGAGGGCATGGCATGTATGCTTTGAAGCCCACATCTTCCTTGAGAGAGGAGTCTTCAACTCATAGGAGTACAACGCACTCGGTGTCTTGGAGATCAAGACCAATGGCGCCGGTATGAGAGCGTACAGCTGTACCTGGAGGTTTATAGTGAGAAGGTAAAATGACTTGATGTTTTCTGTGTATGATTATAAATAAAGTTGTTTTATTATTACGCAGAAAAGTTCAGAACTTAGAGTTTTAAATGATATTACATATAAAAGGGGTGAACAATATTCTATTGTTGAATATATATATTAATGTTATTATTAATTATAACATTTTCAAGATTAATATAGCGAGATCTAGAGATCAAAGAGAAATCTTATAATCAGACAAAGTGAATTGAAATATCTTAGTAATGATGATTTTCTTTATGGTTATGCCAGCATTAATAGGTGGTTTTGGTAATTTTTTATTACCATTATGACAAGTCGCTTTACTTTCTCACTATAAACCTCCAGGTACAGCTGTACTCTCTCATACCGGCCCCATCGGTGAAGAGTGCGTAGCTTTATTGCACTGTCAACTGTATCGGATGCGGACGAATGTTCTGGCAGGCATCTTGATTGAGAGAAGCTGCCCATCGAGCTCAAAAGAGGAGCAGTGATACTAGGAGAGACGGAAGCATGGAACATGGAACATGATGGGAGCTATGCTGTGGAGGATCCACGCTATATCTACCAATCTAACAACAAACGGCGTGTGATGGGTGCAATGGCCGATGTAGAGCAATGGAAGCCAATACAATGCAGACAAGGATGTAGACCCTAGTCCTGCATGTATGATACATGAAGTGTGAGCTGGCCATGACGCTAAGTCTGAGGCCGTAGGCCTCAGTAAGTGGTTTCTGAATATAGTCCATTTTGTTAGAAATATGAGAGTATGAAGAGGGTAAGTGGCGGTGCCAACAAACAAAGAGAAGAGAGCGAAGCTGTCTAGACATCCATGGATGAAAGGTGCGATGGCCTGGATGCCTGATAAACTCATGCCTCAGGCCATAGTTTGTCCAGTAAATTAGGATTGACACAGCTCGTCGCAGCGTTTTATATAAACGTTTTTCTTAAAATATGCGAGGTTTCTTTTTGTAAGAAATGGCATTTCTGACTGGGTTGACCATGGCACTAGTGATAATTCCAATGGATAGCGGCAACATGACAAACGAGATGTATAAACAACAGTATTCATTTACTACACAAATGATCTTACAAACCTCCAGGGGCTCCAAGTTGAGAAGTATACTCAGCAACCCTCGTTAAAGCGGAAACCAACGAGGTAGAAAAGCTGTGTGTCACCTATCAGGAAAATTCCAGTACTAATACACCCTTCGCCTAGGGTATGTATAATTCAAGTTATCTCTTATAACGAGGAACTGGAGCGAGACCCCACAAAAATATGTATATCTGAAAAAAAAAATGAAAAAAGAAAAACATCAAGATTGAAATGAACGTGTATTACTCGTTTCCCACAGTTTATCCTCCCCCTTCGCCTATCGTCATCGTCAACACACTGCAGACTGAAAAAAGACAATAGACAGCACAGCACAGCAGTCCAACTGTCCCCCAATTCTTACGGAATTTCCTCCCTGTCGGCATCAGCATCCAAGTCGGCCGAATATACCTAGATAAGAAGGAGACTCGGAAGCAGATTAGATCAGGCCATGCATGCATGCTGACGAACCCTCGAACCCTCGATTGGATCCATCACATTGCTACTCATCCTCCAATCCCCGTGCGCATTCCAGGGGGGAAAAAAGACCCGCGTCCTCCCCGGTTGTCATCCGGGTCCTTGCTTCAAGAATGCGAGGGCAAGTGGAACAACTGAATAAGTTTCCGGCCGACAGTCGGCTCGATCTCGGTCCCATCCCGCGCAATCTTAACCTCTCGATTCGCATTCCACGGATTCCGCAAACCCCGCGTCCGATGGAATGGCACCCGTTCAGTCGATAACCACTGAATACGAAACGGTTTGCCAAAAGATTGTCCCTCCGCTTCGCCATCCTCGAGACAGACCTCAACACTGCGCTCGCTACGTGCGTCATCAGGCTCGTCGTCGAGGGACTCGACTTCCCAGAAGATCGTGCCGCGGGCTGAGTCGTCGATGATACGGCCCTTGGGCGCGTTGGCTGTCGCGGGTGTGAGGGTCATTTCTAGTTCTTCCGGAGCCGGGGTAGAGCCTGGGGTGGGTTCTGGTCGGATGGGCATTTCCAGGGCTAGGGCTTCGTCGTCGCTGATTGGTGATAG